TTTAGTGCTTTCTTCTTCTTCTATATCTGTGTGGCTTTTTGTTTGTCATTCAATGTCATTTAGTATTGCTGCTCTTTGTACAGTGATGCCAGTCACTAGGTAGTATGTGACTTATATAATATTTTTTTTTTTTTACAATTATGAGAACCTAGATTTATAGTACTTTTTGCTTACAGGGCCTTGTAATTTTCTGGATTTTGCTTCTTACACTTGAATTAGCAGTGTAGCTCTTAGTTAAGTTTCAGCCTTGCACATTGTGCAGTACATTAGCTGTCTGTTCTGCACAGTTTTGGTCTAAAATGACCATAGCATCAAGCTGCCTAGATGCAAGCAAGTGCTATAAGCTACTTTTCAGATGGAGCCATTCTTAGTATGAGACCAGAAGTGTGGTTTTCTTGAAAATCGAACACCTGGGAGCTAACATCAGGGTGTTTCTCTACACACGTTGGTTTTTAAACAGATCAGGATAAAATTGTTTGAAGTAGAGTTTTACAGTGGTAGGAGCAAGTATTTTGAAGCCTGTGGTTACAGTGAATTACATTTTAACTTGGTTCATATCTATCTGTTTTGTAATTATTCAGTGTTGTTTCCTTAGTTTAACTGATAGGCTGTTTGGATTTTTTTAGGCTGCATTGCGACAAATTACTGATAAAGCTCGGGAATTTGGAGCAGGGCCGTTGTTTAATCAGATTCTGCCTCTGCTGATGTCGCCAACACTTGAAGATCAGGAGCGTCACTTGCTTGTCAAAGTCATCGACAGAATTCTGTACAAACTGGATGACTTGGTCCGACCATATGTACACAAGGTTCGTTGCAGTTTACTGTTTCATCTTTGATTTGCTTTTTCTGATCATTGCTGGGAGAAGTGTATATTGTATTTGCACATCAGAAGAGGATGATACTATGTCTTTTTAACATAATTGGCTTTCATATTCTGCTTAAGCCAAACTTTAAGTTCTTGTAGTGTGATCAAAGTGTGTGCTTTATAGTATTAAAGCACGATGTAAAAATGATGTATGCATACTTGGGGGTGGGAAGGGGATCTGACCTGATCTAGGTAGTATCTCTAGGCCAGGTCCTTTAGAGACAAAGAACTATAAAAAGAGCATAATTTTTTATTTAATTTTTTTTCCAGTTGTCATAAAGCTTTAAGCCTGGATCCATGGAATCATCTATGTTTCATGGAACCCAGTAGGGCCAGAAATACTACTAAAAGTATTCATGAAAGGAAATACCAATTTGTTAATCTTTTTCAGATCCTTGTTGTCATTGAACCACTGCTGATTGATGAAGACTACTATGCTAGAGTGGAAGGCAGAGAAATTATTTCAAACTTGGCGAAGGTAAATTTCCATCCTTCATTAAGCCACCAAGTTAGCTTACATACAGCTGCATGTTTATAGGCATGGCAGAAGAATTAACTGTGCTGTTCATAAATCCAGTTGCTACGTTTTGTATGTTTTTCCTTCAGGCTGCTGGTTTGGCAACAATGATCTCCACAATGCGACCTGATATTGATAATATGGATGAATATGTCCGAAATACAACAGCTCGAGCCTTTGCTGTCGTTGCCTCTGCTTTGGGCATTCCTTCTCTGTTACCCTTCTTGAAAGCTGTCTGTAAAAGCAAAAAATCCTGGCAGGCTAGGCATACAGGCATCAAGATTGTACAGCAGATTGCTATTCTTATGGGTTGTGCTATCCTGCCTCATCTCAGGAGCTTGGTTGAAATTATTGAACATGGTAAGTTCTGCTTTTGCAGGCAAAGTTGGTTTGGTTTTGTTTTGTTTTTTATTTTTTTTTAATTCACTTCATGTTTGGGAAATTTTTCATACCGCAGTGAGGGACAATGATAGTAAGGTCCTTGTTTTTTGTGTTCTTTTGATACTGAGAAACAGTTCAGCTGACTCTTAAAGAGGAATAGTGGTTCAGTTTTCCTGAAAATAAGTTAATCAGTTTTACACTGCCCCTCTATTTTTGCTATTTGAACTTAAGTCACAAAAAGTATGAGAGGTGGTATTAAACACTGTTCTTTGCAGGTCTGGTGGACGAGCAGCAGAAAGTTCGCACCATCAGTGCTTTGGCTATTGCTGCTTTGGCTGAGGCAGCTACTCCCTATGGTATTGAGTCATTTGATTCTGTTCTGAAGCCTTTATGGAAGGGTATACGTCAACACAGAGGAAAGGTATATATCTAAAATACTTTAGTTTGAACTGAAATAGATGTGTATCTTCTGTAACTCATTAGAGACACGTTTCTGCATTTAAATAGGGTTTGGCTGCCTTTTTGAAGGCTATTGGTTACCTGATTCCACTCATGGATGCTGAGTATGCAAACTATTATACCAGAGAAGTCATGCTAATCCTTATCAGAGAGTTCCAGTCTCCTGATGAAGAGATGAAAAAAATTGTGTTGAAGGTATGTCAGAATGATTCCTTAACATTAATATGGAATATGTATTTTTCCTTTTCTTAAAAAAACCCAAACCAAAACAAAAAAACCCACCCCAAAACCACCCAAAACCCCAAACCATAAACAGAATTAAAGTTGTTGGATTCTTATTTCCTGTCAGGTGGTAAAGCAGTGTTGTGGTACAGATGGTGTTGAAGCAAACTACATTAAAACAGAAATCTTGCCACCTTTTTTCAAACACTTCTGGCAACACAGAATGGCATTGGACAGAAGGAATTACAGACAGGTATTTTGTTTTTTTTAGTTGGAAAATTATTTACAGTAGAATGAAGTTCACAGTAGAATGTTCATTCAGGCTAGATGCTTAATTTTGTCTTCTGTGTCCTGAAACTGAATTTTGTTTGGACTAGTGATTTAGAAGTTGTGTAGCTAGAAGATTCATAGCTTCTTAGGAGGCTAGCAAGACATTTTACATCTGTAAATATGCATCTATGTCAGTTATAAGGTAGGGTAGTTCACCCCATTTGTGGTGTTTAAAACACTGGATGATTTCTAAAGGTAAAAACAGTAGTTTGCAGTGGGCTTAACATGCATGATGCTGTTTCTCCTCTTCAGACTAGGGAAATTTATTTTCAAGATGTAGGAAGTAGATTTTAACAATGCTTACTTACTTAACATTTGTGTATTTCAGTTGGTTGATACAACTGTGGAGCTGGCAAATAAAGTTGGAGCAGCAGAAATTATTTCTAGAATTGTGGATGATCTGAAAGATGAGGCTGAGCAGTACAGAAAAATGGTCATGGAAACAATTGAGAAGATAATGGGAAATCTGGGGGCAGCGGACATTGATCATAAACTGGAAGAACAACTTATTGATGGTATCTTGTACGCCTTTCAGGAACAGACTACAGAGGTATGGCCAAAGGTGTTTAGTATTTAGTTCACTTTGATTGTAAGCTAGCTCACAGTTAGTTACACGGTAATGTATGCTTCTAAGTTAGATTTTTTTTTTAAGAATCCTTTTTTGGATGTCAGTGCTCTAATCAATGAAATCCAGAAACAAGCTGTGGAATATTAACATTTTCATAGCAATTTTAGATGATATCAACTTTAATTAAAGTGTAGTGTTGCTGCTGTTCTGATTTTTCCTTTGTTACTTTTACACTCAGGATTCTGTAATGCTGAATGGTTTTGGCACAGTGGTTAATGCTCTAGGCAAAAGAGTTAAACCCTACTTGCCACAGATCTGTGGTACAGTTTTGTGGCGTTTGAACAACAAATCGGCTAAAGTTAGGCAGCAGGCTGCTGACCTGATCTCTCGTACTGCAGTTGTCATGAAGACTTGTCAAGAGGTATTGTATTGACTTCTCCTAACAAATTTGCAGTCGTATGTCATAGCAATGAGAGGGGGAAAAAATTAACTTCTAAATCTTTTTATTTGGTTGTAGGAAAAACTGATGGGACACTTGGGTGTTGTGTTGTATGAGTACCTGGGTGAAGAATATCCTGAAGTACTGGGCAGCATACTTGGAGCACTTAAGGCTATTGTGAATGTTATAGGTAAGTTTGTGTATTGATTACATGCCTGTTCAAGTGCAAAATGAAAATGCATTACAAAACTAAATATATCTCATTGAATTCAATAGGTATGCACAAGATGACACCACCAATCAAAGATCTGCTGCCACGGCTTACACCTATTTTGAAGAACAGACATGAGAAAGTACAGGAAAATTGTATTGATCTTGTGGGGCGCATTGCAGACCGGTAAGCTGACTAATGAGAAAATACTTGACCTTCTATGTGGGCAATTATTGTAGCAAAAGCTAAAGTTGAGTATCAGATTTGGCATCTGGGTATTTATTGTCATATCTCTTGGTATTTCTTAAGTTGTGCATAAAGCTTAACGTGACATATTTAGCAGACAGTCTGTTGAATGTATTATATTATTTTGGAAACACTTTGTAAGAATTATTTTGTCTATTTATGCAAACTTAGAATGCACACAATATAATAAATTTTGAGTACACTGTTAACCAGTGAAGGTATGATGTTAACGGATACCTAATTAAGGAAGTTGCTTAAGCGGTATCCCTCTGCTGGTAGCAAATGAATAGGTGCTGCAGTTTATGTGGCTTTAATTAAAAATTTCTAACATCACTGGATGTAATTCACTTTATTGTATTTCAGAGGTGCAGAGTATGTTTCTGCAAGAGAATGGATGAGGATCTGCTTTGAACTGCTTGAATTATTAAAAGCTCACAAGAAAGCTATCCGAAGAGCCACAGTGAACACTTTTGGTTATATTGCTAAAGCTATTGGGTAAGTTGGTTTAATACTTACCCACTTCTACACAGTTACCTAACATAGTGATGATTGTGAGTTTTCTGGTGAGAAATATTCAAACTTCTCTACATTTAACATGTTAAATATATAGGCTTGATTTTACTCATTCTGTAGAAGGACAATACAGTCACCTATTCTTCATTAACATAGGGTGCTCCACTTTTGAACTAAATTTGTGGAGTAGCAAGGTTAGAGTCTAATTTGGTAGTAAGCGCTGTTTGTCTTGTGAATTTTTGATACTGTGACATGCATTCAGACCCTGTCTGTATTCTTTCATAAACTCTCCTTTAAATACTCAGTCTTTCTTTTCTTATTTTCCCCGAATCAATACTTTTATTGATTTGCAAAGGATTTTTTGCCACTAAGGTGATACTGCATGTTGGCAAATAGTAGAATGAAGCACAATTCCCGTCTTTATTTATATTCTTAAATAAGTGACCAATTACCGACTTAATGCAGATGCAGCAAGCAACCAAGGAAT